GTTTTTTTAAAAAACAGCTCAGAACGACATTTAGCATAGTGCATTAATTCCAAGAAAGCATGTGACTGCAGGCAAAGAACCTAGTAATGTTAACAAATGGAATATTTATGCTGATGAGTTGAAAAAAAAACCAGAAAGCTATCGACAAAATTTTGCTTTCAGAACAGAAGGTTCAAGATCTCAGCTCAGAAGAAGCAGGAGTTCAGCTCAGAAGGGATAAAATCTTTCAATGAAAATCAGGTTTTAGTTCCAGGGAACCAGTCACCATTGTTAAAGTGTTAGTTTGTTGAGCTTCCATAGAAATCTTCACCTTATTAAAAGTGGAAAAAAGTTTATGCCACCAGAATTAAGAAATTTTCAAAACTGCAAACTTGGAAATGTAAAATTATAACCACAGACCAAGGAAAAGAAACTGGGAGGAGTCCATTCAGCAAAGCAGAGTTAATGTCAGAATGAAATTTCTCTGCAATTGAGTCTCTGTAAAAAGACAGTGTTGGGAATACACTGAAATTTGGTTTTACTGTTGAAGATCTTTAAAATTGTCCAGAATATCCTTTTTCCCCCCTCTTTGAATAAATAAATGCATGCTCAGTTGTTAAAGAGCATCTGCAGTCTTGTGTGAATATGTTTAATTGAAAAGCTGCTATGGTACCTCGTGCAAAAATTAAATATTTGATCCATTAAGTCATCTGGTATCTGATATGTCCAGTATTACCATCAAATGGGATCATAATACAATCCATTTATATAATTTTCTGTTTCTTCCTCAGCATAATTTTCCATTTTATTAAACTTACCAATGACACATTAAACTTGACACCCTCACGTATGATGTTAATATAACGTGCAAATAATAGACTTCTAAACATTGATCCTTCTGATACTCCACCAATTTACATCCTATCAGTCTGAAAGTGACCAGTTTATTCCTCTTTCAGACAAACTTAATCAAATAATAAAATTTTGCGTAATGACCTATCGGGTAGCACTTTAATGAATGCCTTTGGAAAAATCCAAATATACTACACTCACTGGTTTGCATGTACGCTGTTCATGACAGTCTCAGAAAATATCAGCTTTAGCAAACAGCGTTTCTCTTTCATCAATTCATGTTGGCTCTCCCCTATGATTTAAGTTACTATTTTCGCACCCCTAATAAAAGATTCCATCATTATCATACTTCACCATGGATGTCCAGTCCCTATATACCTGCTTTCCCTATGCAGATGGCCTGAAAGCCCTCCGCTTCTTCCTCTTCCGCAGGCTGACCAGTCCCCCTCCACTGACACCTTCATCTGCCTAACCGAACTGGTCCTTAGCCTTAACAGCTTCTCCTTCAACTCCTCCCACTTCCTACAGACGAAAGGGGTGGCCATGGCATGTGCCCAAGCTATGCCTGCCTCTTTGTAGGATACATGGATCAGTCCCTCTTCTGCAGCTACACTGGCCCCAACCCTCACCTCTTCCTGTGTTACATCAATGACTGTATTGGCACCGCCTCACGCTCCCACGAAGAGTTCAAACAGTCCATCCACTTTACTAACACCTTCCACCCCAACCTTAAGTCACCTGGACCATCTCCGATACCTCTCTCTCCTTCCTGGACCTCTCCGTCTCCATATCTGGTAACCACCTGGAAACTGTTATCTATTTCAAGCCCACCGACTCCCCAGCTACCTAGAATACACCTCCTCTCATCAACCTTCCTGCAAGAAGGCCATCCCCTATTCTCAATTCCTTCACCTCCGCCGCATCTGCTCCCAAGATGAGGCGTTCCACTCCCAGACATCCTAGATGTCCTCATTTTTCAAGGACTGCAATTTCCCCTCCACACTGGTTGAAAACGCCCTCAACCGCATCTCTCGCGTTTCCCACACCTCAGCCCGCACACCCCCTCCCCGCAACAACAAAGACAGAATTCCCCTTGTCCTCACATATCACCCCATCCACCTCCGGATTCAATGCATCATTCTCCACCACATCCGTCACAGCAATCCGACGCCACTACCAAGGATATATATTTCCCTCCCCGCCCTTATCTGCCTTCGCGGAGACAAGGTCCCTCTGGACTCCCTCATCCACTCCACACTCCCCATTAGCCCCACCACTCCCTGCACTTTTCCCTGCAACCGTAGGAGATGCTGCACCTACCCTTACACCTCCCCCCTCACCCCCATTCCAGGCCCCAAGAAAAACTTCCACATTAAACAGATGTTCACCTGCACATCTGCTAACATGGTATATTGTATCCGCTGTTCCCAATGTGGCCTCCTCTACGTCAGGGAAACCAAGCGGCGCCTTGGAGAACGTTTTGTGGAGCACCTACACTCTGTTCCTGACAAATGACTACACCTCCCTGTTGCGAACCACTACAACTCCCCGTCCCACTCCTTGGATGACATGTCCATCTTGGGCCTCCTCCAGTGCCACAATGATGCTACCGAAGGCTGGAGGAACAGCACCCCATATTCCGCCTGGGAAACCTGCAGCTCAAATGGTCTCAATGTGGACTTCACAAGCTTCAAAATCTCCCCACCCCCAACCTCATCCCAAGACCAGTCCATCTCGTCCCCGCCTCCTTGACCTGCCCGTCTTTTCTCCCACCTATCTGTTCCTCCCACCTCACTGACCAACCTCCACCCCCACCTCCTACCTACCAGGCTCATCCCTCCCTTCTTGACCTGACCGTCTTCCTGCAACTGACCAACCCCCATCCCAACTCCCTACCTATACTCACTTGTACTGGCTTCATCCCCACCTCTTTGACCTGTCCGTCTTCTCTCCACCTTCTATCATTGCCCTCCCCCTCTCTCTGAATTTCAGAGCCCCCTTCCCCTCCCCCATTTCTGAAGAAGAGTCCAGACCCTAAACGTCAGCTTTCCTACTCCTCTGATGCTGCCTGGCCTGCTGTGTTCATCCAGTTCCAAACCTTGTTATCTCAGGCTTCCTGGTCTATTGTTTCCTGGTTTTGTCTTCATCCTTTCATGATGAACCGGTTTACATTTCTTACCTTTCAATCCACCAGGACTGCTCTTAAATCAAGAAAATTTTGGAAGATCAAAACCAATGCATTCTTCTAAGACAGACAGATATAAAGCCTTTGCTTTCATTTCTTTAAGCTCTGTTACAATTTCCCAATCTTTACTGTACGGACGTTTTGCTGACAGCTTCCTTTTTACGTATCTGTGGAAGCTTTTACAATCTTTTTCTAAAGTCTCTTGCCAATTTCTTTTGGTCTACTTGCTTAATTATTATTCCTGAGGATTTCCCAAATTCTCCCAATTTCCCAGACTTAATACTTTTTTTGGCAACAATATAATACTCTTCCTTTGAAGGAGGAGATCTTTACATTTTCTCTAACTATGGTTGAGCACCTTTCCCAGACGCATTTTCCCTTAAGGGAATAGAGATGCAATATATTTTTTGATCTTTACCAATGCTTACTACTATTAAATATTTTAATCTAGTTTTCCGATCTACCATTTTCAACTCAGTCTCATTCCGACAGTGTACTTTGGTTTGATTGAAGACCAAAGCTTTAGGCTGAGCTAAGTCATACTTAACATAAAATACCTTAATGCTATGATCAACCTTCCGCACAGGTTCCTTATAAAGGTCTTTAATTAACCATGTCTCATTGCACAATACAAGACCTGAAGTCATCTGCTCCCAAGTTGGCTCCTCAACATGTTGATTGAAATAAAACAACCTAGGATGCATTTCAAGAACTTGACTTCTGCACTAATATTTCAAATTTTATTTTGCCATTTTTAAAAGGAGAAAAAAAAACCCCAATATTACTATATTACTGTGGTTATATGTACCTATGATTTGCAGATTTAGACTCTAGTTGACGTTACAACTATGTGCGCAACCCTGGGACAGTTCTCAAAACTTGGAATGCAGGAGTTAATCACAGAGATCCCACACGTTTACGTCTGGAGGCAAGAAAGATAGATGAAGGAGACTGTCACCGTTACATGATGAAAATAAATTAAATTAATTAGACTCAACCATGATTAAACAAGTTCGGACAGTGAATGGACACAAACAATACCTGTTGCAAAATATGAGCAGCACAAAAATCCAATTTGCTGTCCAGTGAGTAGACAATCTTTTAAAGTAGCATGTGTATTTGGGCTAAAATTACAACAATAGTGCAATCACTGTGGGATGCGTTATAATAATCAATACCTCAGGTGGACAGGATGTTGTTACATGGATTTCAACTCCAAAACTGCATTATTTAGAACTTCCAAATTTTCTGTAATGAGCTGTAGGCGCAAGTACAATAATTTAATGCACTACAAAACATGCCTTAAAACACCTCAAAGACTTGTGCACGCAACTTAGATTGACACTTCAGTGCAGGAATGTGGAATGCTGCCTTCCAGTTGAAAGCATAAAAATGAAATCTATTCAGATGACAAAGATACCATGGCAATTGGAAAATGAAAGTTTTAGCAATTTGAGCCACACAAGAGCATATTCAAGTACGGGTTAATGTAATGAGGGTTTTTGTCTTTCCTACTCTTTAAGGCAGTGAATTCCAGACCCCTGACACACTCTGAAAAGAAATTCTCAACTCCCTCTAATACTTTTTCCATTTACTTTTAATCTAGATATATGGTTACTGACCACACTCCAATGGGAGATGGGTTTCTCCACTCCAATGGATCGAAACCGCCATCTGCAATCTTATATACATCTCAACCACATCTCCTCTCAACCTCTTATGCTCCAGCACATCCAACTCCTCCCTATGGCTTAAATTTTCTAATCCTCCCAACAATTCCAAAACATTTGTTATTTCTTATATAATCTTTTAGATACATAAAATCTGAAAGAGAGACATTTAAAGAAGTTCAATTTTAATGCAACAAGTTAAACATTCACTCTCCAAAATTATCCCAACATATTTTACTACTTCCAGAAGAAATTTTTACATTGTGGCAAACAGCAAATATCCTCAACAATTTTGAAACAGCTCATTTTCTTACCTTCAGTTCTTCATTTTCTTCACTGTCGGTATTCAGCAGATTGGTTTCACTGTGAAGTGAAATTGTGTGGTTATAACAAGCTTGAAATGAGAGTTGGGTTTTAAAAAAGGCAACATCAAATTTATAAAATTGTGATTGCATCTGCTGTTCTTGGAAAATTAGACTTTTGCTTCTAAAGAAAGAGAATAAAGAAGAGTTTATGTATTACACTTGTCCTCAGAGTGACTGGATGGATTAGGCACTATATTTAACCTGAACATTTATGACTGAAGGCAGAGAAAAATATTATGCAGTCTGAAGCATTATGATGGGAGCATTGGTCGGGGGGGTGGAGTGGTGGTTGTTAGCTTGTGGTTTTATAATAAAATGTGATGATACTATGATTTTGAGAGGTGTATTTTATCCTGTTTTTTTAAACTGAAAAAAGGTTGAGACAGTTGTTTTGAGCAGTCTGCTCAAGTCAATAGAGTAAACAGCTTAGGATACCTTTTTAAAAAGGTTGGAACAACAGAACAGGCCACAATAGATGGGGTCAAGCTCCCACAGAAACTAAAAATCCTGGTTTAGCTTTCTGCAGTTGCTGGGGTCTTGAAGATGGATGAGAAAGCTCTTATTCCTCTTTGTTATGCCTAAAAGCGGTCATTCTGTCCCTGCTGTTTGTCTCATACACAATTCTATCTATTTTACTGAACTTTCCTTTGCTAAGGGTGTGTTTATGGGTTGTTACTATATTTGAACACTTAATTAGTAATAGCTAATATATCTATTATTTTGTTAAGCATTTCAATAGTTATTTAAGCCAATTCTTTTCATTTTTGTTTTGTTTATTTCTACACTACAGTTAAAATAGAATGTGTCTTTTGCTCAACATCGAGTAGTTTCACCAATCAAATTGCATCTGGAATGCAACGCCGTACACTTACCTTTAAATAAGAAACGGTTAGGACTAAGTCTAGACTATCTTCTTAATATATTTTGACAGGGTTTGGATCTGGTCCACTATAAAAGACACTGTTCTCAGGGGCAAATGGTACAGCAGCTTATGCTGCAATTCCATCCCTCCATTAACATTTTAATGTATTAATGGAAGCTTTCTTACACCACAATTACTTGAAGTGTCAGACTACTTGAAGAGCACACTTGTTTTGAAATGAAAATAGAGACAGCAATATGATTTTACAGATTGTTGCTCAATGCTGAAGACAAAACTACATTAAAAAAGGCCCCATTGGGATAGATGTGGAGGTGCCAGGGTTGGACAACAGTGGACAAGGTCAGAAATCACACGATACCGGGTTATAGTCCAACAGGTTTATTTGAAAACACAAGCTTTTGCAGCCTCATTCCTTCTTCAGGTGTTAGAGAGTGACAGGTAGTATCAGACACAGAATTTATAGGTAAAAGATCAAAGGATCACACCATTGATAAGGACGCATTAAACAAACCTAAGATGCTGTTAAATCTTTCATTAGTTAGAAGGTTTTAATTGACTTCCATAGAAGTGAAAATTATTGTAATTCATTTTTACCTTCACTGCACTGATGGAAGCACAACTGTCTGTCTCATTTTGTCATCCAATAGTTTGATTTTTTTTTAAAAACATCTTAACGTATATGGATCATTAAAAACTAACTAACTTTAAAGGCTTTGATGTCATTCAGAAACTGTTAGATAGAAGTCACACTAATTGCTTCAATTGAGGTAATTATCACACGCACACACAAAGCAGCAATCCCACAGTCTCAATGAGTGACACACTGAGTGGAGAAAGGGACGCTGGTTCTTCTATGGGCTAATCTTTATTGGAATACATCCGAGGACACCATCTTGTCTTTCACCAGTTTGGAAAGTCCTACTCCATGAATAAGAATCATTAAGGGAAAAGTTTGAAAAAGGTGTAGGTGTGTTAGTTAGCCTGTCACCTATATTGCAATAGTGTAAGTGTAATAAGGAAAGATGCGCGGAGTCGCATTAGCCATTTTTGCTTCTACAACAACTTGTATAGCGTCTTCAATGCAATGAAATGTCCCAAAGCTCTTCATAGGGGCATTACAAAACAAAATTTCACATTAAAAACTATACAAGGAGGTAACTGGTCAGATGACCAAAAGCTTCATTCAAGATGAAAGCTTTACAGATTGTCTTATTGAAGAAAAGTAGGCGGGCAGAAAAATTTAGGGAGTGTATTCAAGGGTTCAGACCTCAGCATCTGATAGTATGGTCACCACAACTAGAGAAATTCAACTTGGCACAAGAGGCCAGAATTCAAGAAGCTTTGATATCATAGAGAATTATGGGGAAGGAAGAGAATACCAGATTGAGAAGTTGAAGGCCATGAAGGATTATGAAAACAAAGATGAGAACTTTAATGGTGACATTTCTTTATTGGGAGCCAATGCAGGTTAGTGAGATCTGAGATGATGGGGTTTAAGATAAGTGTGATGTATGGATCATAAAAAGAGAGCAAATTTCTATTCTGGTCGTGTTAATCTTCAACTGTCACCCAAACTTTAGGTACTATTTGTGATGTGGAAATAGCTATGGGTGATGTTCAGAAAGGTTCAAAAGGTGGTGTTAATACTTGAAAGCCATTCTCAGACTTGTCAACAAAAAACCAAGTTCCATAACAAAATTGAGCATTTAAAAAAAAAAATCAGCAGATCTCAAAAATGGACATGAACGTCCATCTACACCTTGACTGGGATGAACCAAAGCAAGGGAGACATTCCAATGAAGTTTGTTCCCAAGATCAGAAGACTGAATTCTGAAAAACTGTTGAAGAAGCTGTCCATTTTAGGTGCCAACTGCAGTGACAATTCCAAGATAACTGGTACAGGAAATGTAACTTTGGAACTGGTTTTCAAATTAAATAATGACAAAAGGGCAAGGAAGAAAAAAGCAAAATCGGAACAGATACATCCATTTCTCATGAAAGAAGTGATCAACAAATGCAATAAGCCTCTGGGAATAATAATAGTGATATTATTTATTATATAAAGACAGAAGACACTAGAGAAACTCAACAGGTCTGACAACATCTGTGGAGGGAGGGAGGG